TTTATTATTTAGTTTATTTAAATTTATTATAACCACCCAACTCCAAAGGACTCTTAAGATACAACAACAACAACACCGAGGTGAGGGAGAGAGCATGGAAGGTGGCGCAGGAGGGATCTACAGCAGCATATTGGTGGTCTCAGATTAAAACTTCCTCTTGTTTGCAGAAAGAGACTTGTTGAGCAATGCATGGATTTTTTCCTAAGAAATTGGTATCATTAATCATACAGTACAAGGGTTCCCAAACGATGGGTATGAAGACATTTCAAGGGGGGGGGTACAAAGATGTGAACTTCTTAGGGCAAAAAAAATAGTAATTTTCAAATGAAGCTCAAACAGAATGGGAAAATTGGCAGTTAGTGGGCTAACGGGAAAGAAAGTGGGAAAGCACTGGGAAGATCAGGGCTGGTAGAGTTGATCAGGAAGACTGAGGCTGGAAACCTGACACATTTATTCTTGCACAGACTGGCAGATGGATTTGACAGAAATGAGGGCTTCTAAAATCAAAAAGGGATTGGAATACTGGAAAGTTTGAAATCTCTACTACTATAGCACTTGGTAGAGTGTCATGGGAATGTTTGCAAATATCTTCCTCTATTTCATTTTAAGACTGGCTACATGTAGTTTCTGTGGCCCCCTTTTTTCCTTCTGCTCCCCACTTTTTTGCTTTGTCATCTTGTCTGATGAGCAGATTTGGAGATCCTGGAAGCTTGCATAACAATTTCTAAGGTCTGAGTATTCTCTTTTTTCAAATTGTCAACCAGCTACCTTTGCTTTTTTTTTTTTTGCAGCCTTTGTTTGAAGAAATAAAAACCCTGAAAAACTTTAATCATATTTTTTTTTAATTCTGAAAAAAAAAATATATAGGATATATTTGACAAATTACTTCAATGCTCCAAAAAAGGTGGAAAAAGTGAGCAAGGATAACTTTTTTAAAAAAACACACTTGTTGAAGAAACTTTAAAAAAATCACTGTAAAAATATAAAAGCAAAAATTATACCTGTATGAGCAATTAATATCTTAGTTCCAAAAGAACTAGACAATTAATCCAGTACAAGATAGACAGATGTCAGCAAACTGCTGTTGAATCTCAAGTCATTTTGAAAAGCAGTTTGTAACATGATACCAAGTGAAAAGTCGAAACTTATCCTTTTGCCTAAAATATTCGATGAATTCCAGCTATACTACTCTTTTAAGTCTAGTTTTTTAAAAACATTTTAAAATTAACATTCTAGAAAATGAGCAAATTGCTGAAGTACAAATAAATTTCTTACATAGCATTTATGGTGCTCTGTGCCTTAAAGACACCTTAAGTCAAGCTACAAGCTCAAACGCAGCTGACAGAACTTCTCTTTAAAATGATAGATGGAGATGTTCTTTGAAATAATTTGGTACTAAATTATTTTGATAATTTAAACATGACTTAGTGACAGACTGGCAGTCAGCGCATTTCTAAATCAAATACTGAAAGCCAATCTAACTTTTTTTATAACGTATTGGTCCATTTACCAAGATCACCCTGAGACCTCTAACTCCTCCATCTTTCAATTGATGTCTTGGATGAAGAGATTCACGGAATGCTTATTGAATTTGGAGATTATCTAATACCTTAGAAGAAGAAAAATTCAAAAAGATCTTGAGATAAACAAGCTTAAATTAACAGAATTAAATTTAACAGATATAAAAACTTTTTTTAAAAAATTTTGAAACACAAATCACACACATAGTTATAGGATGACGTATACCTAACTTGGTAATAGTTCTTAAGGAAAAAAAATACTTGTTGACTACAGACTGAACATGAGCTATGTTCATATGTGATGTGGTTACAAAAAAAGGCAGATGCACTTTCAACCTGCATCAACAGAAGTATATTTTCCAAATCACAGGAAAGTGATCACTCTATTCTACTTTCTTCAGATTCCACCTTTAATGTCCATTTCTAGGCACTACACTTTAAGGATTCAGAAACACTGGAGTAAGTTCAGAAACGGGTAGTGAGGATGATCAGAGAATAAAGAGAGACTGAAGTAGTTGGGGACGTTAGCTTTGCAAAAAAAAAAAAAGACCAGAGGTAAGGGATATAGCACTCATCAACCACCTGAAATTATATTACAGAGAAGAAAGTCAAGACCTGCTTATCATTCTAGAGTGCAGGACACAGAATAATTAAGTGCCTGGAAGGCAGATTCCACCTGAATATCAGAAAAAAGCTTTCTAATAATAATATCTCCTTGACAGGGGAATCATAAATTACCAGTAAGGTAATGGGTCCCCCTTCATTGGATGTGTTCAATGGAGGCTAGATCTGCCTGGGATGCTCGAATTTGGATCCTGTGTTAAGGAGGGGGTTGAACTTGGAGTCCGATCCAACACTAGGTTTCTGTGATTCTGATGTCTGCTACTAGTTAAAGCTATCCTAAATTACATGTAGGTCATGTGTTAAAGACAAGTAACGACAGATTTATATGAAATCAGATTTTATTGTAAACCATTATTTAGGTACAACACATATCCTTTCCATTTTCATGAAATACCAACAGTTAAATTATGATCTGGTGGGCATCATGATTTGCTTTTTAATGCTGTAGGACTGACATTCATTTTCATTTTGAATCCCAAAACCACATTGTGTTTTAATTAGCAATGGCCAGATCCAGTCCTGATTTTCACCTCTTTTGCCTTGTGCTTTCTAAAAAACTGTTCCATGGAACAAGACAGGAGGCAGCCTTGGAGAAGGGGAGAACTGGTAAAATCACTGTTCTGCCCCCTTCCTCCAATGGGGAACATCTACTGGATTCCAATTTTCATTCTTCCAAGGCTTTCCATTTATGGACACGCCAATTTGGAATGCCCCTTTAAGGAAAAAAAAAGAGGAAAAAATTCAATATGTTTCTATATCTAAAACCACCATTTCCCTATCATTCTACTGAAAATGTCAACAGTTCTGATGCACTGCAAGTCTCCTATGATCTGATGTGGCTGAATCTGTGTGCTCACCATTATCACCCTTTTCATATGGAAGCTAAAATCTGCAGTTTGCTATATACAAAGAACACAAAGACTGAACTTGTAAAGAAGAAAGTGTAAGGCTGCACATTCCTCCCCCCACCCCCTTCTTTTCCAGCAAGGTGTAGTGGGCAACCTAAGCATCTGCTTGTGAAGGAATGGCTACGGGACATTTTGCATTGTTTTAGTTTGGTTCACAATTCAACAAGTTTGAGGTCTTTTCCCTGAAGAGAAACTTAGCGCATGTTTCACCAGCAACATTTGTACAGAACATTTTACTTAAGGGTAGTCAGGGAGACATTAAAACACTGAAGTCAGCAAATGAAGGCTGCATTAATGATCACAGGATTTCTAAAACAATTTTGTCAGACATCTGATGTCATGATTTCATGAGTGATGATAATCCTGGTTATTTCATTTCTGTTTCTCATCCATTTGGAAATGGGAAGGCTACTATTTTTCCCCAGAAAATTCAGCATTCTACTATAAATTTCTAAGTGCAGAAAGAACTGAATCTCAGACTCATTAGAAAAAGATCAGCATTATTTTACAAAAAAGCACTGACAGAATCATACTGAAGAAGAAAATTATTCCTTCTTTTGAGCTTCAAATGAGGCTGCTGTGCAATGCCATTCAACACAAAACAGTAAATCTGAACTTTGTTTAATGGTGGACTATTTAAACACATTTAAGGCTTTGGGTTTGGTGTTTCAGACCCCCCCCCAACAGACGCACCCATCCCAACATTGTTAAAAGCAGACTACACAATAGAAATGACTGGATAAAATGAACAAAGCTTCTGCATTTAGACACATGGCATTAAAATTCAAAAGGCAAACGGAAAATAGCAGGTGTTTGGCATTGTTTGTTTCACTATCTCTAAAAAATCCACTTTTCTGAGTTTTCATCCTGCCACACAATTAGAGGATTATGCTACTATCCACTTGACAAATTGGTACGACAAAACCTGCTTTAGAATATCATGGTTGATAAAACAGCGATTCATAGTATTAGAATTATATAGTAGTAACATAAAAACCAGTATGGCAGGAGGCAATATTAATCACAGGCACTGCCCTATCACTTAATAGATGCTTCATTTAGTGCTAGTCAAATAAATATTGGGTTTTCTTTTCTTTTAACCTGAACACAAAAAGGAATGTACTGCAAATATACTGTAGTATAAGACAACACTTTCTAGTCTGTCCTTCTGCAAGATAGGACCTTGAGAACATCTCCTAAGGGCTGCAGGCACTCTTCACCTCGGAATTACTGCTATTACAAAAAAGAAGGGAAAAACCCCACCCAAAACAGCAGAATGCACTTTTGCCTCCTAAGGCCCAATTAGCTCTCTGAAAACTAGGATCCTCTGTAGTTTATTATCTTTAAAGCAAAGTACTCATAGAAAAACTATAGAAAATGCCTTGGAAAAGATCCGACCTCCTGTCAGTGAATGTTTAAGGCTCAAAATATAGTCTCTTTGTGTTATAAATTTGCATCTTTTTCCTGATATCTCTTGTTGATTGAAATGAGCATGGAAAACAGCCAAACATCAATGGAGGCTGGCCCCTGAAGGCTTGTGAGGCACTTCTGTAACTTGGTTATCTGCCCCCAGTCAGGCCTGCCTATCCCATTACTTACAAACGAAGGATTAGCCATTTTGCTCTTCAGTGAGTCTCTCGGCATTGGCTTTGTGGAGTTCAGGAAGCAACAGGATTTCTTTTCCCCTTACAAGGACCAG